CAGACAGTGAGTAGAACCTGAGTGACATAAAAACCCCTTTGGTACGTGAGGTTAGCCTACTGTTAATAAACTGCTGTAAAAGTTAGCACAGTCTAATGAGCTAACGCCACCTAGCTAGTGCTACACATAGCACTGCTGACCAGCTACCAAGCTCGCTAAACGGCTTAACTTTTTTTTGCATTTGAGCTGTTTACCCGGTATCCCTTTACATTTAACTTATGTTTTATATTTGGTTTCATAACAAAGCTGTGCAGCCCGTGACGTGATAAGTATTTGTAGTAAGGCGTGGCTACGACTTACTATATTGATGCCATAGTTACGTTAAGTTTCTCATAACTCTTCTCAATACAGTCATTTCTGCCCTCACTGTAGTATCTTGTGGCTTCAGTGTAGTAATTTGTGGTCTTAATATAGTCATTTGTGGCACCAATATATTAATTTGTAGCCATGCATTATTAAAAACATGGGCTCCATAAAAAGCTATTAAAGAACCATCTGAATTAGTTTAATTAAAGAATACAAGTTTATTAAGGAAACCTAAAGTAGTTTTGGTATGGGTCAGTGGATAGAGAGCAATCTGTTTGGTTGATCAGAGGCGCTCATATCACAGACAGCCAGATTTTCCTATGAAGATTTCCTATGATATGTTGTGTAATATTGTTAAAGTTAAATATGTACCATTCACTCCTCAGTCCATACACTCCATGTGTGGAAACTAAGCTGCAAAATTCATTTTTTGAAAAAACAGCACATTTACATATATCTTATTTAGCCTTAACCAGTTTAGCTCCACCCTTTCGCACTGAAGTTATAAGAGAATCTATTTTTATTAAATAATTACATTTGTACATAAGCAGCATACAGCAGAACAAATATAGTTAAGTCAGATTAAAAACTGCATAAACAAAAAATGTAATAATTTTAAACAACAAAGTTTAAGCAAAAAAAAAAAAGAAAAAAGCCAGGTGAAAGAGCACGTTTTTACAAAAATAAATTAAACAAGGTGCGTATATTCGCAGCTTTTTGTTTTTGGAGAGGGTAATAGAAGTTTTGTTCAACTTCTATTTCAGATTTGAGAAAACCTGGTTTGGAATGAATAAATTTACGTTTATGAATATGAAATTTTGCCAGAAGAATGATCAAATTAATAATATAATATTCTTTAACTTTATTCTTTTTATAATGACTGAGGCCAAACAACTCATTAACCAAAGACAGATTAAAGTCAGGGTCAATACAATCCATGATAAATCTACATACATCCTTCCAGAGCATTTTTGTGTGGGAGCAGTTCCGGTTATGAGGAGAGTCCCAGTCCAGAGTGCTTTTTTAAATGACACACAATGCAGGGCAGCCAATCAGAACAGAGATCGTTTACATACATCGGTATTAACGGCACAGTAACAAAAACAGCTGTTTAATTCTGTAGGATAAAGAGAGGTTGTAAAATGGTCAAACAATTGTACCCATGGCTTAAATAAAAAGAAAACAATTATACGTTATATTATATTATAAGTTCTGAAAATTGGGAATCTTGGGAAACATAACATAAACAGAAATGATGTACATACAGTTTGGCTGTGGGAAAACTGTGACCAGAAAGAAAGAGAAATCTGTAAAATACATGACGTTTAAAACCATTAACATCTTCCAAAAAGCAGGTCAAATCTGTTGTTCACAGATGAATTCTTATGCGTCAAAAGCTCTCATCAGCAGCAAAAACAAAAAGGCCAGATTACAAGTTTCAAAATTACAGTTTCAACACAGTCAGAATGTTTGAAAAGAAAAAATGCAGTAAACATGGTGGAAGTGCTCCACTGGCACAGCACAGCCTCTAAATAGATTTGTTAAATGAGAATTCAACCAGTTTCTCGAAATTTCTGCATAATTCAGTCACTGAGCTGTGAAGTAGTTCAGACTGATTCAATGTGAAATGGTTAACTGTATTTACTATCCAGAGCAACCAGTTTAACTTACAACTGTCCTCTGACTTTTATGTCGTCGCTGTCAGATGAAAACGTTGTCTTCAATAAAGGTGGTCTAACAGAGGAAGAGAAACGTTCTCAACTTTTAGTGGAGGAACTATTTGGTCCATGTCATTTTGGGCCGTTTCTGTTGGTGCATTCAAAATGAAATGTTAACACCGTCTACATGGTAACTGGTGATTTCAAATTCTGCAAAAAAAAAAACAGAGGAAAATGAGTAAAAAGGAGATAGAAGGTTTTGTCCCGACAGTGATGATTTGTAATGTTGATAATAGTAAAATATTGTTAAATTTAAAAGTTTTTTTTGGAGCCTATGTTGCCTAACAATTTCCCACCAACCCACAGTACATTTAGTGTTCATTTTCTTGAAGACAGTTAATTTTAGGAAATTTTAGCTGTTCTTTGATGAGCTTCATACAAACTAACTTAGAAGTTCATCTTGTCTGCAGTGATAATAGCTACTGAAAACCTTTTTGTAAGGACGTGTTATTATAAGAGGAGCAAAAAACCCCTTTTTAGTCTAGTCCTAGGCTTAATCAGGGTCTGTGATACTGGCCAGGAAAAGAAATTAATTAACAATCACTTTCATTCTGTTTTGTGTTTTGGCTCCACATTTAGTTCATCACTGCCACCTGCTGGAGCGGAGAGGCTTTGGGAGGATGACCCCGGTTGATGTTCTTCAGTTCAGGATCACACAGTCAATTTCCTGACCATATCTGAGGTAACTGCATCAGTGTAACTGAAACATCAGAGCACAAACATCACGGCCAGCTTTAGATGTCTGACTGTGCTTCACTCTCTGTATATCGTCACTGTTGAGATGATATTTTGTATCTAAAATTTTGTGTAATTGTGTACATGTGTACAGTTAAATGCAAAAGTTTGTGCACCCCTGGTCAAATTAATGTTCATTTGCTGAATTTAACATATTGGAAAAAAATAAAACATTAAATGTGGCCCTTAAAAAAACATTATGGGAAAGTTAATAATGTGTATATTTGTGTACTAAAGTTAGGACAAATTTCATAATGTATGTTTTTTTTTTCAATATGTTAAATTCAGCAGATACATAGAAATTATGTGCTACACTTAGCAAAAAAAATGCCATATTTAAGGAGGGGGGGGGTCACCCTCTCAGTTTTTCTTCCACTTGATCGAGGAAGGAATGTTTTAGACGGCTGTGGTTGGCTGAGAGTTGTGTTAGTTATAACTTTTGCAAATGGTCAGTTGAATTATTTGCACAAATGTCATTAATCAACTCCTCACTCCAGCACGGCTCCCTCCTTCCCAGCCGTAGTGTTATTAGTAAACTATTAGTTAAATATGCAACAACATTACATTTATGGCATTTGGCAGACGCTCTTATCCAGAGCGACTTACAATTTGATCATTTTTACACAGATAGGTGAACGTAGTGTTAGGAGTCTTGCCCAAGGACTCTTATTGGTATCGTATAGGATGCTTGCCCAGGCAGAGATTGAACTCCAGTCTACAGCATAGAAGGCAGAGGTGTTACCCACTACACTACACCAACCACCATTATCATTTTTCTTCATTCATATTTTGATATTGGATATTGAGTTCTGAACCCAGTAATGAGAATCTAATTGAATCATGAGCTTAGTACATCGCTACCCATAGGTTTAACATGTTTACTGCTGTACAAATACATTTTCCAGACTACTCCTTATTCTGCCACAAATAAATCCATGAGAAACATTCACAATGCCTTCTGCAGGCCGACCCATTCAAAAGATAAAGTTGCACATTTAATTGTTTTTGAAAATAGCTTGACTAGGTTTTTGCTCTCGACGTCCGATGTTCTAACAATTTGTCCTACCCATCAAGTGGTCCTACTGAGCATGCACATATCCTTACTATAGCGTAGTAATGTTAATTCAGCCTTATTTTAAGTCTGTTGTACAGGCTATTGCATTGTACAGCTTAACATAACTACTTACTACCTGATAAGGTGATTAAGACTATCAAATTATCCTGTTCATTCTTTCAATACTGGTGACATTTTCTGATAAAATGATTTAGGCTATCAAAGTATCCTACCTATACATTTCAATGCTGGGAGCATTTTTGATGCTATAATTTAGGCCGAATGTCCTACCTACAGTTTTATGTCAGTAGCTACTTATAAATATGTGCTGTGATAGACATTTCCACAGTGTAACACAGTTTATCAGAGCCCTGTTCAAGAGTACCAGCTGAACAGCAGAGCTCAAACCTGGACTGTCCGGTCCAACACTGGACACCTGGCAAGCTTAGCTGTACAGAGCTGTTTGAATGCTTTCAGTTTAGAAATGCTGCAGTTTTTGTAAGAGCTGAAAAGTAAAAACATTCCTTTTAAAGCTGCTCTCATCTCCTCCTCAGCCTATTTAAACCTCTCCAGTATGCTGTTTGTGTTTGTGTCATGTCAGGGGCAGCGGGGGAGACCTGTCACTAATTTTATGCATAAATGCATATTTTTTGAAAAATAAAAACATTTTAGTGACATTCTAGGTATCAATAAACCCATTTTTCTGCTGGGTTTGAATAGAAACGTTCAGCATAGCTATAGTGTTTTTCTGAGATGAAGCTGCAGTTACAGGTCTGTGGCCAGCAGGTGGCTAAAAGAGCCACAAGTAAGCTCTCTCTCTCTCTCTCTCTCTCTCTCTCTCGCTCTCTCTCTCGCTCTCTCTCTCTCTCTCTCTCTCTCTCTCTCTGCCCTAGGAGACAAGGAGCCAAGTTCACAGCACGGAGCATCCCAGTTCCGTACCATACTGCTCCACTGTGTGAGCGTGCCTGTGAATGTTTGTGTGCTACGACTGCCATCCCCCTCCTCCTCCTCCTCCTCCTCCACTACCTCCTCCACCTCCCCTCTCCTCTCCTGCACTCTGCTGCCAGCTTCATCCCTCGCTCCGTCAGGGTTGGGGGTGTGTTCATGGTAAGCACCCAGCCCTTCTCTCTCTCTCTTTTCCTCTCTCTCTGTCAACCTCTCTCACCCTCTGAAACACTGCTACTCCCCTGGCAGTGCTCATTTCTTTTCCATCCTTCCGTTTGCCTCCTCCGTTGCTGTTTCTGATGAATCATTCCCGGCTGCGTCTGTGCTGAAGCCGGAGCCTGTTTTTTTTTCCTTCCTCCGCCGCTGTGCCGCTCCAGAGATGACATGAGATGAGAGGAGGACTGGAGGGGGGAGATGCTGAATCGTCTGCGTGAAATGCTGGGCATGACAGCACATCCGTTCTCGTTTCAGAGCGTGTGCCGCGACTCACACAGCATGACGGAGGATCCGGCGGCCGCCCGGCCGCAGCACGCAGACTGAAAAAAGACGCAGCGCAACCCTGGATCGTGCTCTCGCGGTAGGTTTCATCTCCTGCATCCATTCCCACCTGATCTGTTCTCCTCTTCTCTCTTCAGCCAGGGCTGCTCTTTTCCCTCAGGATCAGGGATGTTCGGTGCGTTTGGAGAAGCTGGGATTACCTGTTAATGATCTCGATCGGGGCCTGCTGGGCTGTTTGTCAGCAAGTTGTCAATAAGAGCTGCAGATGCCGGTACAAAAGGGAGATCTTGATAGAATGGCGCCTTGGCTGTAGCAGCTTGTCGTCTACATTTTGCAGTAATATTGTTAATGGGCTTATTTTTAGATTCTAATGAGAGTGAGAGCCATTTGTGATGCTGAGTGCTTGTTCTCTTCAGCTGCTATCTCTGGTGTCTCCTCCTATTTCTGATAGCATGTCCTTTTTTGGAGTGCGTTCAGGTTTGTGTGTCAGGTGAAAGAAATAAGATGCTGCACTTGGTATCATACAAATGCATAAGACAGTTCTCTCCAAGTTTAATCTTCATAGTCATGTGATGGGGCAGCAGGGTCATGTAGAGGCTATACAGTGGGAAATTTTTTAGGAATAGTTACATTTCAGATCTGTCATTGATTATTGTTTTTATAGACCTTGCTTCAATGATGTGTCATGTTTTCTCTCTAAAACTGTTACAGATTTGTCCTAAAAGTGATACAGCTCAATTTTGCATGTTGTTTTTTCACATTATGTTGACACCTAAAAGCTCAGTTTGTTGTCTGTATGCAAAAAGCTGGATTTAATGGCTTTCTAAACATTGTAACCACTTTTATAAGCACTTGGCACAGACATATGGAAGTGATTCACTGCACTTTGAACTGTTTTCACAGGTCTTGAGCCCAAAAAAGACACACAAACTTTGTACCACAGCTCTTTAAATTTCAAATTTCATAAGAGACCAACTACTTTTTGGTTGTAATTACTGCAAATAGTTTTGTGGTTTACTGAAACTATGTGTGGTGGATTGCTTTTCTAGTTTCAGTCCTGTAGAGCTGCACAATTTAGTGTTTTCTGTATTCTAACTCACCTAACTGCAAAAATAGTAACTGATTACTTCAGGGAGGTGTGTTAAAGGAGGTAAAACATTAAGCTGTGCAGCAAACTGGCCCACCAGCTTTGCAATCAGAGAACTGTGATGTGTAATAACATTAATGTATTTCTTATGTAACACAAAATGACACGTTTCTCCATCAGAATCAATACATTTGAATGGTGAGTACATTCAAATAATCAATGACCTGGCCTCAGGGCCGGAATGCATTTAAATGATCTCCCTGGCGTAACCTCACATTTATTAATGAAGCTGTTCCAGTAATTATAAGTGCCAGTGGGAAACACAGTTCATTTCCATTCATTTCAGTTATGTCTCGAAAGCAGAACATGCTGAGTCATAGTGCATATATGTGATTAAAGGGTTAATTTAGTCTTGTGTCCAGATTCTCCCAGACCGACTGATTCTAATACGAGAAGATGGGGTTTCTTTGGCTATACATGACATAATAATTATAAGAATATTAATAATAATAATAATAATAATAATAATAATGCATTTTATTTTGAGCACATTTAAGAGGACCCAGACACTGTGCAAGATATTACAGTAATAAGAAAATGATAATAGTGACATTTTAATAACATAATAAGGAGTTCAAAACAGTGCAAATTTTAAGCAGAGCTTTTATGAACCCACTGAACTCACTGATTCTGAACCTTTTCGGAAATTTTCAAGGAGAGGCTTCTGGGTGTCATGAAATCAGACTGCAACAGAAGTGAATCAGTCTGGTCTACCATTGACTCCGTAGTTTTCCAAGCAGGATCTTGCGTTTGTCTTATAGAATGATTTCATGTTTTTCATTCAGTACATGCATTGGTATTTGAGGCTGGATGTGATGTGGGAGGTGACCTGTGTTTGTCTGCATTTTGTGCTTTAGTAAGAGCTTAGTGAAGTATGGCTTTAGCCTCTTGTAAGTAATAGAGTTGTACTATAGGCTTGACTGTGAAGTGCCAGGAGGAGTTTTCCCTTCATCTTAGCCAATGATCCACTAAATATATCCAGTTCAATTGGGCAGAGCTGATGGCCATCTTTCATCACTCTTTCAGAGAGACTCGAGAGAAGGAGAGTTTTACCTCCAGCCATGCTGCAGGTGTTACACTTTATCTCCACAGGGGAGATAAAGGACAGGATTTAAATGCTCCAGACTGTTGGAGAATTCAGATTTTATTCAGAATACTTATATATGGCCACGTCTTTTTCAGCAAAAAAAATCTTACAAAATCATATCAAAAAATAATGATAATCTGAAAACGTCCTGTAGTAGTAGTAAGCATAATAATAATAATAATAATAATAATAATAATAACAATAATAATAATAAGCCTTCCATTGGGAGACTTGCTTTGACTTTTTCGAAGAAATCTGCAGGGATATTTTTCCACACTTCCAAAGTTCAGTCTAAGAAGTTGGTTGGATTTTCTGCTTCTCACAATCTAAGTAATTCCAAACTCATTTAGTTATGTTGAGGTCTGGACTCACATCCACCCTGAAGCAAGAGTGGAGCTCTTTCTCAAAGATGGAAGCCTACAAGGTCTTGCCCTGTTATTAAGAGTGCCATTTTCTCTATATCTTTCAATCATTTCTCCTGTTTTGTGTTTTCCTCCTCTTATTTTCCTTCAATGCAAGTGGATTATCTTGTTTATCTTTTTAATATGCTGCCTAATGCCTGAGACTTTGTTTTACTTCAATTAGGAATGAGATTTTGTCTAAAATGTATTTTTTGAAACACATTCAGGACAAAATATAATGCAAATACAAAAAGAATGCAGAATAGTACCCAAAGTAACCACCACTGTTTTACCATTGTCAACAATACAACTATTCAAGACGTGTAGGTTTTGGAGAGTAAATAAAGTGGCAGTATTTGTGTTGTAGACATTGTGACCCCTGGTTCCTTTCATTATCAGTGATAGGAGTTGGTAAGTGTCTGTATAAGGAACCATTTCACCTCAAGCTACTCTGTGTGTGTATATGATCCAACATAAAGTAGCCTTAATGTGAGGCAAAACATGGTCACAGATGCTCCAGTTATAGCTTGTATGTTTGTTATGTTATTCGGTTCAGTATTTTAACTGAAATGTTGTTGAGCACATACTGGCTTCCTGTTGTGACTTTGTATGCATGACAGGTTGCTTTATACTGCTACAGACAAACACAGCAGCTCCACCACACTGTCTGTTTCATGAAGTGACCTGCACTATTTGTTACACACCATGAACTGTCAAAAAGGACACAACAGGGGCAGTTCCTTCAGGAGCCCGAGGCAGCTGTACTAAAGCTCCATTTCCTTTCACTCACCACTCCAACCAGCACTTAGCTGTGCTTCTTTAAAGCAGTGGTAAGCTTCTGGTTACATGCACTCGGTCTGCACCTAGAGAGTCAGAATTGTTTGATTCCATGGGTCCAAATGACAGTAATGGGAAAGAACCTGAGCCTCTAGCTGTAGTATTATTAGATTATGGCCAGTACGTTTAAAATATTGTTTAGTCAATAGTGAAATGATTTTAAAAGGATTTCTCTGATAAACGTTCGCTAATACTGCATGTAGTATACACATGATTTCTCATGTCCTCTTAAGCAAAAATACCTTTGCTTCATCTACATTGATATGTTTACATGTATGTTGGGTTTCTATTTAAAGGTCCCATATTAGATAACACCAGATTTTCTTTTTTGTGAAATAATGCCCTTTTTGAAGTCATTGGTTTTGCAATATCATGAGAACCAGCTCATTTCCATGTAGCCTATATAAATCACTGTTTTTGGAACAAAAACCATGTATCTCCAAAATGGTAACTTTACAGGAGAAGGAAAAACATACTTTAAGTAAGTCATTTTGGGTCATTCTATTGGTCCATTTATCATGAAGTTTACCAACAAAGTAAAGGACAACAGGCATTTTCAAATTATGTCATAAGCTGAAAAAATGTACACATATTTATATATATATATATATATATATATATATATATATATATATATATATATATATATATATATATATATATACACACACACACATTTGCTCTAACCATGTGTCTTCCTCTCTTAAGTGAGCCTGGGAATTCACAGCCAACAGTCAACTTCACCACATGAAATCTAATTTTTTTCTGTAATTTCTATGTTTTAATGTTCTGACTTTTACACTTGAGAAGTGACAGTACATATAATCCTGATTTTAACCACAAAGAACACGAGTAAATGCTTTTTCTGAGTGCCTCCAATCTCTTTTTTTCACAGAATATAGTAGCACTTTTATTGCCATTCAGAAGCGAACAGTCAGTAAAAACAACTGACATGGTGGATTCAGACAGGACTAAAATCAAGCTGGTAAAAATTATGTTATCACACCTTCCCACATAAAATGAATCCTGTTTGAATAGTGCTTTTAAGGCACAGCAAAAAAAACAGCCTGTTTAATTCTGAAGGATGGAGAGAGCTTGAAAATGATCATATAAAATGAATTGTGACCATTTTTGGTATGTAAACCCACAGAGATGTTATAAATAGACCACAAGGGGAAAAAATAAAACACAAGAAAAATGTAGGATACCTATAAACAAACATCCCTGTCTCCCATCTACATTAACATTTACTGTTTTCATAAAAAAATGTGTTTCAATTTAAACTCCCTCCTCTTGCTATATCTGCATCTGCACTTTAAAGCTGTTAAAACTGTATTCTTTCTTTTCTCTTTTCTGTTTTGTCGTTTTATCTTTTCCCATTACTGGAGCATCTGTGACTGACTGTGTTTTGCCTCACATTATGGTTACTTCGTGTTGGATCATCAACAACTTCTAATAGAGTCCCAGTGCAGTGGAACAGCCTGCATATTTGATTAGATTTTTCTTATCTGGTAGAGTTTGCAAGCTGTTGTTTTCTGTCAGATTCCCTCAGTCCTACTGTTTGGGGAAGCAATGCAGTGTTTTTTTTTTATGATTTATTAGACAAA